TTTTCTTTTCTTTTCTTTTCTTTTCTTTTCTTTCTTTCTTTCTTTCTTTCTTTCTTTCTTTCTTTCTTTCTTTCTTTCTTTCTTTCTTTCTTTCTTTCTTTTCTTTTTTTTCTTTTTTTGGAGCGAAGAAAGGCAGGGTCCCTGCTGGTGGATAGGGCCCGCAGCCTGCGTTTTCGGGGGCTCTCAGTGGTCAACCACAAATTCCCCACCTCCCTAATGATGCCAGAAGGCTGTTCCTTGGCCCTGTGGCTCCAGGGCAACTGATATTTCTTAATATACTGCTGGAAAGCATGGGAGTTGCATTGAAAGGTCTCGGTTCCTGGCCTGTTTTAAACTCCCTTCTCTTCCGGGGTTGCATTAATTCCTCTTAATTCCCTCTCTAAGCAGGTGGCTCTCCTCCCCTTTTTTGTGGCAGTCAACCCAGTGCACTACGGATTAGTTAGAGACCTGGTTCTTGAAGAGTCTGCCGGCCAATGTTTATCGAGGGACCCTCACCTCTATTTCACTCCCCACCCCTTCCTCTCTCCTGCTTTGTCAAGTTGGTCACATGAAGCCTCCATCTTCAGGAGCAGTATACCCCAAATGACCAAAGATTGCCAGGGAAAAAAAATTCTTTTGTGGCCATCAACACCCCAGATCACCCAGCTAGCACAAAATGTCTTACTGTCTGGAATTCTGAGATTTGTAGTTTTAAAAAAAGGAACTGGTCTCTGAATATTGGTAGTGGGCACTGCGGGTGAGGGTGGGAGACAGCTGCGCTTTCGCACCCTGCTTGCTAGATGCTAGAACAGATGCCAAGCGAACGTAAGTTACTTTTCCAGCGGTGTCTCCCAGAAACTCTGAGAACCATTGAGGGATCCATGGGGTTTATAGTCCAAGAAAACGGTTTTAATCAAGCTGTAATTAGAGGCATCTTTGACTATAATCCACGGCAGCCTTCTCCAGAGTGAACACACTCTGCTAATGTGTTCAGCAAAACCGACAAGGAGGCTTGTGGCACACTGGAGATTAGCACGCCTGGTTTCCTGGATCGAAAACCACTGCATTTGGTGCTACGGGCTGATGAAGGAGGCTGCAGCCTGCTGATGATTAAGAGGTGAAAGCTTACTAGCCTTTAAGACACTGGGAGATTCTTTGTTGTGTTCAGACACCCTTGTTAGCCATTACCTCGCTATCTTGTTTTCCTTTCGCCACTGCATGCTCCTCACCCACGGAAAGCACAGCCTGCCGGAGGCTGAACTGTCGTCCCTGTGCCTTGAAGGAACTCAGTCCCGGGAAGCTTTTTTGGAAGTTCTTCCTTCACTGCAGCAAACGCCTGTGAGATTATTTAGATGAGGCAAGTGCTGGGGAGAGAGAAAAGACAGAAATAGAAATTGGTGCATACATCCCAGCGAGAAAGAGAGAGAGAGACAGAGAGAGAGAGAGAGAGAAAGAGATGTCAACAGCTGCTTTGCACAAGCTTGGGCATCGTACTCCTTGAGCTAAGGGTGGTGTGTTTTATCTGGGATCGTAGGCAGAGGTCCAGCCCAAGGGAAGCAGGTGGAATCCAGTCCGGGTTTCAATAAGAACTTTACAGGAGCTATCCAGCTATCAGCCCACATCTAGAGCTTCAGCACCCCGGACAGCTCCTTCAAATTGCAGACTAAAAACCAGAAAAAATTCACTGCTCCACAAAACATTGGAGTCTCCATCTTCTCTTGACCCACTACCTGGTACTTGATCCCTATCATCTGTGCTCTCAGGAATGTGTGTCAGGGACCTGCCACCATGTTTGTGTGGTGTCAGCGAAGCAAGAGAAGAACTCGATCTCAGCTTCCTAGTGAGAGTAATATGCAGACTTTAGATCAAGGGGGTGGAAACTGTGCCTAGTGGGCCTGATCCTTAGCGTATTGTCAGCTAACATCTGGCCTGGGTGGATTCTGAAGGAGGCCCTCTTTCTAAGGGTTTTCCCCCCTCTTATCCTTGTCCTCCCCTTTGAAAAGGGGGGTGGACTGGGAAGCACCCCTGAGCCATTTCGAATCGAGGTGTGTTCATAAGAATTAATACATATTAGCTCACTGATCAGTACTAAACCTTACATGGTAGGGAAGTTCTTCATAACTCTACGAGAGAGGGAGAAACAATAGCTCGCCTTTCTCTGTGTTCTTGGCACC